CACCCCTCTCTGGGCTGTGATATTGGCTTGTTGGAGAGCTGCCATGTTGATTTGCAGTGAGACAGTACTATCGCAACACATGACAGGAATATGGAGGGGGAGACACCAGGGGCAGAGTAACAGGGGCAGATGGGTAAAACCAGACTAAACAGAGGGACGTTAGTGCTGGTACACTGTCAACTGAAAGCATTCAGTGAGAAATAGATTGGAGAGAAGAATGATGGACAGAAGAGAAGAGACAGTTTGGCTGTTTGCTCTCGATGCCAGGAAGAGCCTTCCTCGGCTCCTCACAGTTACTATGCTGAAGCTGATTCTGAGAGTCATTACTGAGCTGAGAACAAACGCAGCGTGGAAATCAGGAAAATCAAATCCAATTTGAACAGAAGGTGGCTGCAGAAATGCAAGCTGATTCTGTTTCTTCATGGCGTCTCCCTACACTTTGATTTGAAAGGTCTTCTTAGGATTTTTGTTCTATTTGGTGAAAACGACCAGAACACCATCAGGGACATGTTTGTTTTGGATAAGGATAATCACTTTATTTGGCCAAGTATGTTACACACAAGGAATTTGTTTCCAGAACCGGATTCTGATCTGTTTAAGTGGAAAGTTGTGTCCTGAAGTCTGTGATGCTTCAGGGGAAATCTGTGAATTAAAGCCAATCGTCACAGAATCCTGGAGGCAGGTGTTCAGGCTGTAAAGGAAACAACCACTTCATTTATGTGTGTTGTTCCGCACTGTTCTCCCACAATGCACTTGGCAGGAGATGGAGGAGCAGCTCACAGCTGGAAGTTTTTAAAGTAAATGTGGTTGGTGGTGAAACTTCTTCAGGAAATAACCTCCTAAAACACAAAGAACTGTTATGGCTTGGGGCAAATGTTTTGTTGATGATTAAATTTAATTGGCAGCTTCATGCATCATTTCTTCTGAGTAGCAACTGTGTTGTTCTGTAACGGGACAGTGTCGAGGTGATGATGATGATGCTCTGAGCTCCTCCCCTCCCTTCTCAAAAGTCAACATTTGTAGATACAAACAGAGAGAAAGAAATGAAGGCCAGAGAAAGTCGGGGCTTGAAATGAGGCAGAGAGTGGAAAACATGTAAACATTTCATCATGTCAGTTCAGCTAAGTCGCATAAATTCACCTTCACACTTTGTCCAAACAAGCTGTTGCCCTGTCAGACACGTACTGTTAAAGACGTCACTTCAAGGGTATCAGAAGGTTTTCCTTTAAAAGTCCAACATAGGTTTGTTAGAATAACATATAAAAGCTTCCATGAATCATGTACACATTGAATTGCAACTGCATCACTGACCAAGTCTGCTAAGAGGCAGCTCAGAGGTGTAGGAACAGACACGAACGTATATGGAAATGTCTGGATTATCATCATGAGGAGCAGGGACAGTGAGGTTTCTGTCTAATTCCTCCCACATGCATTTGATGCACATTGATGAAATACCTGTTCCAACAGTGAAAACATGATAGTACAATCAGGAACATGAAGAGCACGTCGTGAATTTGTATATTGTTGGAGATGATCGTCACTTCTGCTCCGACCACCTGTGTCTTTTTTACTGGCCCCATTTGTCAAGCCATCAGTGCAGACCGAAGTCCAGGGACCTGTCTCCGTCAGCTTCACACAGAAGACAGAGAGACAAAAACGGGACGAAGACAAACACAAGAAAAACAGCATAAAGCATAACAAAGAAATTGTATAATCATAACATAGTAATAATAAGAGTAATTCTGGCAGACAAACCAGAGCCATGGCTCCAGTACGGCTGAAACTAAATGAAAGCAATGTTCAGTTAGAAAAGAAAAAAACAAACCAACGTGCTGGTTCATCTGGTTTTCATGTCAGTTTTGCAGTAAGGCTAAAGTATTGAATAAAGTACTGAAGTACTTAAAAACCTCACGTCTGCATGGTGCAGAAACAGAATGCAGTTCTCTGAAACCTGTTTAGTCAGTTACATCGTCAGTGTTGGTGAATACACCACCGGACTGAAAGATTGCAGTGCTGCAATGTTTTGTTCACCTGACAGTGATTTGTGGCACAGTAGTGAGTAAATGTCAATGAAGCCTGTGATGATAACGTAGGGGCAGCGTCATGCGCAGCAAGCCCCAGTTTACAGACAGTCAGTGAGACGTCCATCAGTCGTTCATGAAGCGAATTTGGCTTTAGAAATAAGACAAGGAACTAAATGCTTCACCTTTGCCATGTAAATGTTCACATTGGCAAACCTTGTCCTCTGCCTTCTCTCTAGCTGCTCCATCTTCTTCCTTTGGGCCCACAACCATCAGCCCTGGGCTCTGTGGATCATTTGGAAGAATTTAGAAACATCATACATCTCTCTGTGCGCATCACCAGGCCACAGTGAGATCTGAAAATCAAAAATTGAAACATTTACTTTGGTCAGCTGGCCACTGGTCAGGGAAGTTAAGCGGAGCCCTCTAACCACAGCAGCGGCTTCAGTGGCCGACAGGGAAATGGGCAGTGATTCTCCAGAGTCCTCCATTCCCGCTTCTTCCATTGAGGGTATAAAGTAGGCTTTTTACTGTGGTTATTCCACTTCCTGTCCCTACTGAGACCAGAAAATCCAGTACTCTGCTGACGGCCGCCCGGACAAGGCTCTTTATAAGCCCAGTTATTACCAGAACTCACTTAAGGGCAGGTCTGAGTCTTTGTTCATGGTATGCACTAGCCTTTCTGCTTCCGTGACCACAGGTGCAGCAGTCCTCGTGACCTACAACAAGTCCCAAAGCAACCCCGGAAAGCCTTCCACTGAAGCCCAAGAGCTACTGGTATCAACCATCACAATGAGCCCTGGGAACCTGCTGCATGTTCACAGCTCCACAAAGTCTCTTCCAGGTTGAGGGCTCTCACTGAAAACCAGCGTTTATAGCAACAGGCTTATTGTGCATTGTCCCTGTTAAATAAACCACAAATTAAACATTTGGAATTCAGTTTGAAACAGATTCCCAGGCAGCGCGGTGCTTCCGCCTGGATTAGTCGGCTAACATCTCTGCAGCAGAGTAGACCTCACTGGGTCAGACATGCGATCTGGTTTGTTCACGTCATCTGATCAGAAAAAAACTCCTGGTGCAGTTGGAACCTAATCTGGCTTGTTCACATCATCTGATCAGAAAAAAAACTCCTGGTGCAGTTGGAACCTCTGAGGGAGACAGAGTTCCTGCTTCACTCCCATTGCAGCAGTCACTGGTCACTTCATCTAACTTTTTGTAGCTCCGAGTGCAGACCTCTCTTCTTTTGAAGCTCAGTAGTCACCTCACCTCGTGGTTTTGGTTGGTCCTGTTTATTACACCTGAACTGTCTCATGCCAAAGCTCCGGCAACACTGACCATCACTAAGCAGCATGGTCCAAGTTCCTTGTGGGAAGGAGTCCGTGTTACAGCGTAGCTAGTGCCCAGATAGTCTTCTGGACATCGTTTGGCCTTTGTGTCCTTCTGATTCTCAGTCACTACTGGTGTGCAGACACATTTTCTTTGAATTTGGTTATGTCTACCTGATGTAATCTTTTTTAAAGCCTGGGTTTCGGAGTGCAAGCCTGTCTGTGAAGGTTCTCAGTGATCCGGGCTGTACAGCTAGACGCACCAAGCCTAGACTGTGTTGTTTGATTCAGCCCATGCACGTGAACTGTGACCTGGATGACTGAGCTCAGGTTAAAATCTGGACTAAGTGGAGTTGAATCACCACTTGTTGTCACATTGATCATGCAGTTTACCTGTAAATGTCCAGTATCAGTCCCAGTGTACTACAAAGATGCTCTGAAGTGAAGCGGATGCTGTACATGAGTGTTTGTTTTGTGGCTGAAAGTTGTAATTGGATTGCAGTGACATACTTTGTTATTTTAGCTCTGCCTTGGAGGTTTATATCTGGCTGTAAAAGGATCTATGGAGCACGGCATTGCCCACATTCAGGAGTCGCTTCCTGTGTCAGGCCTCAGATCAGCTGACTGAGAATTGATCAGTTTCACAGATGTGGACCACACATTTGGCTCATCTTGGTTTATTCAAGAGTTTTACTAATGAACGCAGAGTAAATGTCAAAGGCAAGTTTCGAAGAATTTATGACCTAAAATAAGGTTTCATGTTTATAGTTTGTTCTTGAGAATTATTTTAATTACATTTTAGGTCAAGACTCCTCACAGCACATCTTCATTAACACCATTAACTTGCAGAGTAGAGTCCGTCATCTGAACAGAGACTCATAAATTAGACAAGCCAAGAGAAAGGGGACATAATAAACAGAGACATAACAAGTTAATGCATAAAACATGTGTCGATGTCTTATACTAGTTATGTCTCTTAGCAGTAAATCCCTCCGTACTTCACAGGTACACACACTGTGCCTTCACAACCACAGCAAAAGCAACAGAGACACTGAACATAAGTCAGAAGTAGCTGCTTACATATATTATGATTCACTGTGGCGACCTCTAACAGTAACGGCCGAAAGAAGAAGAAGCTGCTTACATGTATTATTCAGTTTCCATCAATTCCTCCTCCCAGAAAACATCCTGTGTTTTGTATTAAAGGAGTTCAAATCTCCACAGATTGTACTTTCTCTGTGGATGAAGACTCACAGTTTGAGACTAAATAATTCTCATCTTCAGGTTTTGGGCTCTGCTGTGCACATTTCACATCACTTCCTTCAATAACTTAAAAAATGTCTTGTTTACTTCCTGGGCCAAGTCAGAGCCTTCGTTTCCATGGTCACAGCGATGAAGGTGCTTTGTAAAGGGCCGACAGGATATGGAGTGTTTTGTCCTGCTCATACTGGAGCACAGGAGCAGGTTTTCATTGAAGGAAAGTACAGAAAGCCACTAAAAATCTTTTTCACTGTGTCTTCCTGGGGGTGTCGGCTCTCCCCATCCAAACACATGAGAGGAAACCTGCCCCTGCTTTGCTCTGACGTGTAGCTGCCATAAAAACAGTGGCAGAGCAGTCCTGGTACTAACAGGCCGGTGTGTTTCCTGCCCACAGACACAGACTACATCAGTGAGGAGGAGAAGCAGAAGGTGGAGCTGATGTTGGCGTTTCTCACAGAGGAGTCTCAACAGGCTGCTGCCAGCACAGCTGTAAGTATCCACACGTTATGATGGGGGCCTCGTTCTGCAGGTCTGTAGAGAAGCGTTGGCTGAACCATTTAGGGGAAGAAGACACAATGTTGAGTCCCAGCTGAAGTTGGACAAACTGACCCCGTCGCCCCCTAATGTGAACCTTGGTCAGGAGAAAGCATTTCCTCCCTTGTCCCTCCTTTCTTCCTCTCTGCAGTGGAAATCTGATCCCTTACTTTCCCCCAGACTCCACCACAGAGCTGAGCTGGCTGGAGAGA